AATTATAGAGACTTTGAAATGACCCTAATAACTCTCCAGAACTGGGCAGAGACAGTGTTAAATGCAGAATTTGGCTACAGAATACAAAAGTTGAAAGAGTAACTAACTGAAGCAGAAATTGGGGTACAACATATGCATTTAGTGTTCAATGTTAATTTCTAGAAGTTTTAATAAACTAAGAGGAAAGAAGCTGGACCAAACAATATTGTACACAGCTAAAACAGCAAAATTCACATTCCCCTCCCCCAAACCAGCCATGTCTGCATTTTGTTCTTTCAAAGGAAACAGAAGCAATATACATGCCGTGACAGTGGAAAAAACTTACGGCACTGAGTTCTAAAATCAGTAAGCCATCTCCTCACTGTTAGATTGCAAATGTCTGGCTAGCATAAGATATGCTTAACATAGTATGGATTCTATTTAATGCAGATACTGAATTCTGCAAGGTATGACAGTATCTTCCCTATGAAGCAGAATCTAAACAAGAAATGTCATATATTTTTGGATATAATTATACCAAGTAGCATGCTGGATACTGTGAATCCAGTAAGTGATAAAGGTACAGCTCAGAATACGTGTTCTTTTCTCTTCCAAATGCAAACTTGGTGGACATATAGCTAAGTAGTACTTTTCCCAGATACAAAATAAAAATACAATCTTGCTGAGCTAATAACCACTGGATTTAAGTACAGGATAGGACAGCAGTGAATTTGGTTCTCTCAGCAAGGATAACCAAACTGTTCTTTAAATGGCAACTAAGAGTATGATTCTCATCCCATTACCTGGATTAACTTTTTAAGTCCAATGTCCCCCAGTGGGCTGACTGCTTTCTTTTTCTCTCTCCTATCCACTCTGCCTCTCTCAGCAGCATCTCCTCCTTTTTCCTCCCCACTTCCTACCCTTTGTATTTTAATCACTGCTTTCTATTTAGCAGCTCTGCTTCATATAGTCCCTTCACATCATCTGATGAATCCAGCCCTCTCCTTATAAAAGCTCATGCTATACATTCCTGATTTAATTAGTCTATAAATGATGCAAATCTACCCTGCTTTCCATCATTTTTAAAAACAGTTTAGATAGCTTAAATATAATTTACCCATGCTATGGAAGAGCTGAAAAATAAACTGGAAGTAGATCCATACTATAGTACACCATTGAATATTGATATTTTTAAATACAGTATTTAAGGAATACAATCAAAACAGAAAAGGGCATCCCATCTTTTCTGGCCTCTTTCTCTTACAATAAACATTATATTTTAACATATCAGTTGATCTATTTTATCTTTTCCACTGCTCCTTCTATGGTAAAATATACTAGTATCAGGCCAGCCACTAAAAGTACTGGAATACGCTGCAGCTTGCTCATTTGTTCTCATATGCTTGATTACTTCTCAGAATCTATCACTATTAATTACCATCTGCCATAAACTGTTTAGTTGTTATCTTTGTATGTACAAACACCAAATGCAGACTACTTCCATGTAACAGAAGTCAGGGAAATACTGTTAAAGCAAAAAAAAAAAAAAAATCCTGAAGCAAAAAATACCTCAACTAGGAAAAAGAGAGACAGGCAGAGAGAGTTAATATAAATATGTTGGAACTATTACTTTTCAGAAGACAAAGTCTAAAAGCCAATAATTTTATCACTATAATGAATATATTCTTGGACCATTACAACCTCAAGCAGGAAATTCTCTGGATGGGGTCCCATCTAGGACTTGGCATTTTGAAAAGCACCACCTGAATTAATGGGGATATCATTGCCGAGCTGTATGTATGGGGAAAGATAGATACATTTCATCTCTCCACCATGAGCTACTAGGATGCAGCATCAAAGGAGACTGCCATAATCACAAGCAGCTGCAGGACTTCTCCTTGTGAGACTGGGTGGCCAACAAAGGCTACAAAGTTAAAGTTAGAGGCGGTAGGAAGACTCAAAACAAACCACGGCCATAGCTGTTTTCTCTTAGCAGAGGCTTTTCCATAGCTGAGAGAGAACAAGTAAAACCCATGAAGGTCAGGTAACTTGACCCACAAGTCAATAATCTTGTTAGTAAGGAATTCTAATCAAGCTGTATCAATATAGCTGGTAACAGGTATGGAGTCCAGGTACTTGTTACATGCAAGGAAGAGGCTGGGGTCCTTAATAAACCCTAATTAAAAGAGGACTTGGAGAAGGCATCTCCTAAAGTAGATGGGAAATGGAACTGGAGCTTCTGCACTGAAGAAATATGCCTCTTAAGAAAGTATAATGGAGGACAATGTGGTCCCAGGAAGATGGAAATTGACCATCAGACCCCAGCTCTTCCCAGATGGGAGCAAAACAATTCAAGAAGAATTTTGACCTGCATGAAATGAGTTACTGTTGGTAGTTCCAAGACAAGTTAAATGAATAAGGTTGTGGCCTAATTAAATTATAACTCTTGTACCTTTCCTTCTGCATGTCTAATACAGAAACAAGAATGAACCCTGGGGGAGGGCAGGGGAAGAGTACAAAATATACTGTAACAACTTCTTTACTTGGCAGTGTTTGCATCCTTGCCTGGTAAGAACAATGCTGCTCTAACGAGTTTTCTAAACATAAGTAGAGTTTTTAACACAGTATTCACCTACTAAACTAAAAGCTAAAACAAACAAACCAAAACCAGTACAGAAATGGATCCTATACTGTCAAAACAGTTGCGTCTTTAAAGCAGGGGGGCGAGAAGGGTACACAGGGAGGGGAAAGACGTAGCTACTTTCATGTCTTGACTACAGAGGCTGCAAACAGTAAGAACAGCAATAATGGAAATATAGGAATGTGACAAGTAAGGCCTGCTTTGAGAATATTACTTCACCTTATTTTAATGATTATAAGCATTTGCAGCACTGTTTGCATGTAAATTTTTATATTAAAATTCAGTATTTTCCATTGGATATGACAAACTAAATACAAATTGATAAGGAAAGTCAACAACTAAGGCACCTGCAACTACCCAACTATTCAGATCATTTTCACTATAAATAGCACAGGACACTCCACATGAAATGAATGTTATAAGAAGTCACACCTGAAAAACAGTATTTAATCTGGTAACTAATAAAGCATACAGACAGACTTAAGGATGCAGAAGCCTTGGTTTTCCAAAATAACTTTTACGATGTTATGTGTGTGTGTTAGGTCTCAGGACATCTCTTAAAATGCTTTAAGATATCAGTCAGCAATGGTTCTTATGGACAAGCAAGCTTAAAATACTTCTAAGATAAAACTGTAAGTCAAAAGGAGGCAGATAATAAGATATTAGAATCGAAATTGTTACACAAATTTAACTATCACAATGATAATCATCTTTGCTATCATGGTTCATTTAGGGGAATAATTTTCTAAAATGGCTTTTTTTTAACATTAAATAGAGCAATGAAGAAGTATAAAGGAAAGACCTTTGTGTTGGATGGTATTCAAAAGAGAAAGCTTTACGTTGAAGAGTTTAAACTGAGGTAGGTTAATACAGGCATAAAACCCCATCCTGCTTTTCTGCTGCCCCTCTTCCCCCCTCCACCAAGGAGGAAGAGGAAGAAGGTGAAGATGGTGTTCTGATCTGGAGCTTGAAATACAATGGAAAAAGGATGCTTGCTTAATAATAGCTAGACAGCAAGTCCCAGAATGTAAACCCCAAATGGTTATTTTCACACCAAACACTCTTAATTTGCTTGGTATACACTGATTTGAATACATGCTCTCTTTTGGGAGAGTTTCAGGAAAAAATGTTTTATACTCTCTTTAAAGTCTGTCACTACTGGCAATTAGCTCAAACATGGGGCTTAAATTTACCTTATCACCAGGGATCCTGTTTTTTCTCTGATAAAAAAATCCCCAATTTTTGGAATTAAAAAAAGTAACCCAAAATCAATTTTTTTCCCATGATTAAATGAAACAAAACTATATACATCTATATTAGTGTTGTTTCATTTTAATTACAGAAAAAAGTGGATTTTGGGTTACTCCTTTTAATCCAAAAATTGGGGATTTTTTTTTTTTCAATTGGAGAAAACCAGGATCCCTGCTTATTACTTTGGAGAGCAGGTTTTACATTTAGCTTTGTAACAGTGATGCTAAATCTCTGTGTCCTAAATGTGTACTGTGATAGGATTAAACTTTGTTCTACAATTTTTGACAAACTAAATTTGACTGGGCAACCATAATTCTGACCTTTGTTATCTCACCAAGGTTTGAGAAGCACCTTATGCAAATTCAGAATTACATGGTTCTTTTCTGGGAAAGATCTCAATCTACTTATCTATATTTTATTTAGCTTTTCAAAGACACCAAAGCTTAAGACAACCAAATAAAAGTCATGAAATTTTCACAGCCACGTAGCATCTCCTCCTTCAATAAAGAAGTTGCCAGAAACTAGGCGTCCCTTTTTTGTGTGCAAGTTTCAACTGAGACATTGTTCCAATTTTGTGAAGTCCAAACAGATGTTCAAAATGTGCAAAAAAACTTATGAAAAATTATTTTTAGCTCTCATGACTGCAGAAAGCTTCTATGTGAATTGAAGATGTCACTTTATATGACAATGTTTTTCCCAAGTCTACATATTACTTCAAACAACAACTCAAAAACAAAATTTCCATATACCCCAAACTGCCTTTTCCAAAACAGAAGAAAGGGTCACTATTAATTACTAAATGCCAATCATTTTAGCAGACAAAATAGGGAAGGGAGTGAAGGCTATTGGGAACTGCAGGTGGAAAGGAAATGCAAAGATGAGAACAATGGACACTCCAAAAACTGCAGCACTGGAAGGAGGGTAATATTTACCACATAATACTTACTATACTTCTTAAAATGCGACCTTCAAGTGTATTTGACTGACCTATTCTAATAGCTTCAGCTGAATATTAATATGTGCATGACATCATGTGCCTCTGAATTTGTAATTCAGTTGCTTGATGCTTGACCATCAGCATTCATTCCCTTCTGTTGCAACTAAAGCATGTTAAAATTTTATTACAAACCTTCGAGGATGATTGGCATCAAACAGTGTTGTATCATCATCGTCGTCATCTTGTTCTAAGGGTGTCAACTCCATGTTTTCTATGTTAGTGTCCAGAACTCCATATCTTCGAGTCTTTCTGTTTCTTCTCCTAAGCCTGAAATATTTTAAAATAAAATGTCTTTAAATTACTGATATAGAAAACTGTGGGAATACTTGATTAAAAGGGAACAGCTTTGGTTTCTTAAAATATAAACAAACTTAAATTCTCTATACACAGAACTATTTAAAAGGTTGAGTGTACAGGGAATCGTAGAAAAGTAAGCCTGCGAGGAATCACTGGAGGTTATATAATTCAGCAGTTCTCAACCCTTTTTGTACCAGGAACCATGGCCAGTTCCAACCACATAAATAGTTTAAGTAGAAAACAGCCCCCTGGCCCTGCCAATACCCCCTACTCCCAACCCACTGCCCCTTGCCCACAGGTCCCAGCCCCCCACCGTGTGGGGCAGGGTGTTTCCAAGTAGCCCCTTGCGGGCTGGAACTCTGCCAGCCTGCAAGAGAATACCCAAGGATTCCCGCATTTCTATCCTTTAAAAGAGAAATCATTTTCAAAGTTTGTTGATCCATTTTTAAAGCTTGTTCACAATCCTTTCACATATTCTTGTCACCCACTTTTGGGTTGTTAAAAGCTGAACTAATCCAACCTCCTGCCAAAGACAGGGTCATCCCTATGTAAACCATCCCATGCAAAACCTTATCTAACCTATTTCTAAAACTACACAAATCAACCTGTCACACAGCTACAAGCCATAGCACCCTAACCTGACACAGGCAAAGCAGGAAGACAATAGCAGAGTCCTGCTACTGCAAGGATTATTGAAAATATGACCAAAAACCCAAGGAAAAGAGACACGTTCCCCACTGTAGAGGAAGGCAAAAACTCCCAGTTTATACCAAACTGGCCATGGGATAAAACTCCTTCCTGACTCTATATGAAAAAACCTGTCTGACCCTGAGTGGAGGTGTTAGACCCTCTAGCTATGAATCTCTAGGCTTTAGTTCCAGCACGAGCACTGGCACACCCCAGTTAGAGCCCAGCCACAGCTGCAGCCAACACACAATGCTTATGAGGATGGCAAAAAAAAAAATTCTTGCTGGCCCCATGTAGCAACCAACAAAGCCCAGAAGCATGGGATGATTGCATGGGATATAGCTATTCCCAGACCATCATTCCTGACCAATTCTTATCCAACCTCTTGAACACCTCCAATTATGGAGTCTACAACTTCCCTAGGCAGTCTATTGCACTGCCTCATTTTTCTAACAGTGAAGAAATGTTTCCTGATCTAAGTCCATTTTACTTCAAAATCAAACTATAGGTCCATATCCTGCTCTCTGCAGCAACAGATAAAAGTTTTTCCCTTTTCTTTATGGCAACCCTTTGGGTATTTGAAGACTGTTATCACATCCCTCCTTAATCTCCTTTGCCACAAACTGAACATGGCCTTCAACTTCTGCTCTTATAGCTTGAACCCTCTCTAGGTTCTCCGTGTCCATTTTAAAATGCAGAGCCCAAAACTGTACATAATACTTTAGATATAGCCTAACCAGTGCTAAGTAAAAAGGGACTATCACCTCCCCCGTCTTGTACCTATTGCTTCTATTGATGCAGTGCAAAAATCACCTTTAGCTTTGTACTTCTGTGTCATTTTGCACTCACATTGAGTCTGTGATCCACCAAGACTCCTTTTTCCTAGTGGTCACATCCAGCCATTATGTATTTGTGTTTTTGCCTATTCTTCCTGAGATGTAACACTGTTCATTTGTCAGCACTGAACTTCATCCTGTTAATTCCAGCCCAGTTTTTCAATCCATCAAAATGTTTCTGAATTGCACACCTATCCTTTATTGTGTTGGAAATTCTTCCCATTTTTGTGTCATCTACAGTTATACTAAAAATCTGTCTATTCCAGCCTTCAAATTGTTAAAAAATGCATTGAAAAGCACTAGGCCTAGGACAGACTCTTGTGGGGACACCACCTGGAACCTCCTCCCACTCTGACATGGATCCATTTATAATTACCCTTTGCTTGCAGCTATTGAACCAGTTGTCTATCCACCCTATAGTAGTTTTCAATAACCTACACTTCTCCATCTGTTTGAGAAGGTCATGTGGGACCTTCATCCCAATGAAGTAACATCAAAATATCAAAGACATTCCTCTGAACATCAAGTTTTTAGAAGCGGAGGGCTATAGACTGCCCTCTGTCACCCGTGCTTCTGTGCTTAGGTATTTTAATAATGGTAAAAGCATAAAATGCTATTTCTCTCTCTCTCTATGTACAAATACCCATCTCCACTGAATTATGGTTATCATATATTCACATGTGCAAATATAGGCATGATGTTAAGTAAGCTCTGAAAAATCTTGACTCTATAGTGACAACATGGAAAATCTAGCTATGAACATACAAAAATCACAAGCTGTACACTTCTATACTGATAAGCAGATTTAAATACAGGATCATCTGATACAAGAGGGCCTAATAAGCTGCATAAAATGCAAAACAAGGAGAACCATGTCTGTTGTACAGCTTTATTCCCTGCATAACAATGGCATTTATTTTTTGGTAAAAAACAACAAAAAAACCCCACGAAACACATTATGCTAAATGCCAGTAGAGAGAATTCAGCATTCTCTCCCTCTCTCTTTTTTTTCCAGAGACAGAGACACTATTTTTAAGGAAGTAAGGGACCCTGACAAACATTCCTCCCTCTTCTCAGGGCTATCATGTACCCAGGAATTCAAGTGATGCCACTACTCTCATTGCAGGTTCCCCTTCTTTAGGAATTTATGAAATTAATGGTTATCATAACAAACCAAAATATTATGCATAACTAAATTAGTTGTGCTATCAAAGTTTGCAAGAGTAAGCCAGCAGAGATGAGACTAGCTATGAGGGCCCCTGCTCAAATATCACATCCAAGACATTAGTAGGAGTTAACTTTCTACTTTTCTGGACTGATACCAATATACCTGTTGGCTTGCTATTTTTGTCTCTCTGTCAATCATATTCAGCCCCCCCACTCAAGGTGTAGGGCAGGCTTGTCCAACATACGGCCCGTGGACTGCCATGCGGCCCGCTGAGGTATTTTCCGTGGCCCATGGTGCTGCGATTGGAAATGAAAGTAAACACAGTTTTTACTTTTGTTCCCACCCCTCGGCAGCTTCCTAATGGCTGCTGAAGGGCGGGGAAGGGACGAGGTTCCTGCACGCACCATGTCAGCGCGCCATGGCCCGGCCAGGTCCCTTGCAGGGCCAGACCCCTCGCCAGCCGGGGGCGGCGTTGGCTGAGGCTGCTGAGCGGCCCCACCTGCCCACCCCGAGGAGCCAGTGCCCACCCAGGTGGCCTCAGCCGATGCCACGGGCTCGGGGCAGGCGCAGGACGGAGCCTTCATGGGAGAACTTTGCCGCCGGGTGGTGGAGGAGCGGCTCTGCTCACGGGCCAGGGACACGCCAGTTGCTGTCAAGGAGGATGCGCGTCTGGGAGCGCCTGTGCTCCTGCCCCCACCTCCCCACCCCGACACGAGCCCATGCCCATGCCCTGCGCTGCCAGAGGGGCCCCGCGTGGGAGGCCAAGCAGCGGCCCCTGGCACTGCCGGCCCACGCCTGCCTCCTCACCCGCCCGCTTCAAGCCAGCCCCACTGCCCTGCCCTGCAGCAAGGTGGCGACTACTCCCCTGGCCAGTCTCCCCCAGACACTGTGGCTCTCCAGGCTCCACTGCCTGCGCGCAAGGCCCCAAGGGGGCCGCTTCTCATGTGCTGCTGGGGACGGGAGGAGGCCGGCAGGCTCCGCCGCTGCTTTTGCTGGCCAGTGCAGACCTGGCCGGCTCCTCCTTTCCCCAGAAGCACATGGGAAGCCGGCTTCAGCTGCATGCTGCTTTTCCTAGCCAGTGCCAACCCGGTTCTGCTCAGGAGGGTCCTGCAGCACCATGGCAACCCGGGCATGGCACCAGCAGGCCAGGCAGGCTCCAAGTCAATCCCGGCCCGGCCCCGCGGCTTCTCCAGCACCAGGTCAACCCAGTTGTAGCCAAGCGGCTCCTGCAGCACCATGTCAACCCGGGTATGGCACCAGGCTGGCTGGGCACCCGGTCTCTAAAAATGCTGTCCAGTGTTTGGATTGTGTTTGCTTCTGTTTCTCTTTGTGCAGGATTGGGGGTTCAACTTGTTACTACTTGTTAAAGATGTGTTACTAACAAGTTATTAATTCAATAAAAGTAAATCTTCTTGAAGATTATTCTCAAAAATGCCCATATTTTGTTGCTTTGATTAGTTTCCACTCTGGCTGGCATCTTTTCCACATTTGATCTGTCGACTTGCATTATGCTTCTTTCATTGAGAAGCAGGTAGAAGTGAAAGTGTTTATTTTAGTCAAGTGTTTGGTATTGTTTCATTCTTCTTTTATATTGTTTTTATTTTGGATTTTAAACCATATTTCCAAACTCATTTCATTGTCACTTCCTGAAACTTCACTGGTGTCAAAGGTCACGTGACATCACTTCTTGATGTGATACTACTTCCTGTGAGGTCTCTGAATATGGCTTGCCGGCCCACTGGGTGATAAAAAGTTCGTATCCGGCCCCACATTCAAAAAGGTTGGACACCCCTGGTGTAGAGTGAGCATCCTGTACATAGGAAGAAGAGCAGGTAGTTGCAAAGCATGAAGAGAAGGATTAACGGGGAAATGGAATACATGGGAAAAAGAATTCAGTGATTTCGTTCCGAAGAATCAAGAGGTATGCCCGTCACCCTACAACTTGTTAGCACCCTTTCCTCATAGAATCATAGAAGTAGGGTCGGAAGGGACCTTGTAGATCTTCAAGTCCGACCCCCCGCCTGGGCAGGAGAAAAACTGGACTCAAATGAGTCCAGCCAGGTAGGCATCAAGCCTCATCTTAAAGATCCCCAGGGTAGGAGCCAGCACCACTTCCCTTGGAAGTTGGTTCCAGCTCCTAGCCACCCTAACTGTGAAGTAGTTCTTGAAGTAGGTTCCACTCAACTTTGTGGAACCAATCACCTATAGTCACTCATATACCCAATATTCAACCTTGGAAGATTAAGACCTTTAAAGCATGGTGCTCCTATCATACACTG